CCTTCCTTCCTTCCTTCCTTCCTTCCTTCCTTCCTTCCTTCCTTCCTTCCTTCCTTCCTTCCTTCCTTTCTTTCTTTCTTTTTCTGGACCTGGATACTTTGAAATGCTCCACCTCACAGATACTGGGCCAAGATGGAGAGTCATAACATGATATTAGTTCTCATAGAGTCTCGGTGGAACATTCCTGAATGAATGCCAGAACATCTGGTCCTATTCTTCACTCTCCAGTTTCCTTCTAGTGCTGGCCTGAGGATTACAGGGCACTGAAGACATCTCAATCAGGAGGAGAGAGGAAACTGGACAGAGGCTGTGAGCCCGGAGGTGATTATAGGAGAGAGGTCACCTGCTGTGTGATGTCAGCAGAGAATTTCAATGTTCTTGTCTGAGTGCAACCTTCTTCTTTTGAAGGGAAGATCCAGAGAGTGGCCAGGGGCCAAGAGTACAGATCTGGTGGCCAATAAACCACACCTCATCCAGGCTGAGTCTCTGAGACCGCAGACACAACCTCCTCCGTTCTCATGCCTCAAAAGGGAACTGCAGGACCCAACTTGAGTTGAGGCTTCGAGCATCCCAGAGCTTCCTCCAAGCCTAGGCTCTGGAGGTAATGTTGAGGCCAGTGGACCTGGCAAGCTTCAAGGACCGCTTAGGGGGACAAAAGAGACACATCCTGACTCAAGTCACCTGCCATAGGGCTTGGGTTCTAGTCTTAGGCCTGATGCCAACCTGTTGTGTGAGTTTGAACAAGTGCACATCCCTGTCTGAGCCTTGGTTTCTACATCTGTAGGGGAAGAAACAGGATGAAGTGGCCCCGAAGCTCCATGCGCACGGACAGGCTGGATACAAGCCAGGCATGGAGCTTTGCTTTCATGGCTGCACCCCAACCTCAAGTCTAGGACACCGAAGGGGAACACAATTACTGATACGGTGGTCCGTGGGAGCAGGTTTCCTAGTCCCAAAGTGCTGAGTCCACTCTTCCCTGAGCTGTCCAACGGCAAAGTGAGAGAGATGCTGCTCTACAGGAGACAGGAAGAAGCAGACTGCCACGTCTTCCTTCCCTCTCACTCTTTGGCACTCACGGAGACAGGACTCATTTGGAACGAGGAAAGGTCAGAGCCTATGGTGCCGAGGAATGCTCCCAGACGCATCCTCTGCAGAACCTATGCATGTATGCAGAACTTGGACCTCAAAGCATCCTGAGAACACAGTCACTGTGGACCTCGCCGGGGGGGGGGGGGGGGGGGGGGGGGGGGGGGGGGGGGGGGGGGGGGGGGGGGGGAGGGGCAGCCTCAGTGCAGCCCACGGACCTCAGCTGCAGATACAGTGCAGCATCCTGGACCCCGTTTCACAGCTGAGTCAGAGCTGTCCAGAGATGTAGAGAAGCATCACCAAAGAGGATGGGTGACCGTCCCTGAAGGGGGACAGTCACTTGGCACATCTCTAGGATTCCCTACCATATGCTGTTTCCTTCCTAACCCCAGCCTGCAATATCCAAGCCAAGATCTTTTGATTCTACAAGTAATTAAATCTATATGACCGAACACAAGCGTTTGAGAGGAATCCTATTACTCTTGTAAGAAGTCATGGTGTGTTTTAACCACAGTTCTTAATTATGGTCAATAAATTGACCATAGTTCTTAGATCCACCAGGCCCTTTAGTAAATTAATACTTTCTTCATGCTGGCTTTTGATATAGAATAGCAAAGGCCTTTTTTTAAGTCAGGGTTTCACATTGATTACAGATGTGTGTTACTATGCTTGGGTGAGACTATTTTAGTTCTCAAATAAACTCCTCTTCATACTGTAAAATCCCGTGGCCCCAGACAGGGGACAGCAGCTTACACCAACGCATATGGTGTCTACTGCAGCATAATTGAACAGCCTGGAAGTTGCCTGTCAGTCCAACTCAGAGGAATAGCTTTCCCTGGCTCCTAATTCCTGCTGTGCATAGTTCCTTTCACATGGTCCTCAGAACTTGGCTGTCTCCTCCATTCTCCTTCATAGGTTCTCAGGATACACCCTAAGAGTTCCCAGATCTCTCTGGCTAGCTACCCTCCAGCTGGACTGGGTGTTCTCAGGTGGCTGCCAGGGATTCCATCTCCCACAAGGCCCTGCTGGACAAGAGGCTTCAGCTGGCATGTATCTGGCAGCTCCTGACCAAGGCATGTTGCTTTCTGACTTTCCTCCATGACCCCTCTTCTCTTCCTCATCCTGGAAATCACTTCTTTTCAAAGTGGCAAATTCCCCGAAGAGGAGGCCAGATTGTTTCCAAACCAATGCATAGAGCAGAGGAGGAGGAGGAGCCAGATACCAAGGTTCCAAATCCCACGTGGTCCTGTGTGATTTGCCTATTCCAGGACTCAGTCTCTGCATCTGTGCAAAAGGCTGATGAGGTCATGCTGAAAGGTCATGAGTTGTGATAACTCTGTTGGAAGGGAAGGGGAAAAGGGTACTTTGGTCTTGACAACTTATCTAACAAGAAGACCATGAGTAACCATGACATACGCTCAATTGTGATGGTCCCCAGAGCAGGGTCTTCCCTGGCAGCTCTCAGCTGCTCTTAGACTGGTCCAACTCGCTAGGCAAAAAAAGATGGCTATAGAATGAAAAGCACTGTGTCTACCCAGGCTCTCCTGAAAGCCTCCTGAGGAGTCTTTTCTTTGCGAGTTGATGCCCAATGACTCTTCCTCCTGGCCTCTCCCTGGGCATCTTCTACACAGCTCTTCCATGGTGCTTGGCCATTTATCAACCCGGACACCTTGAGCTGCCCTCTAACCCGGAACTATCCTATAACTAAGAACAAAGCTCTCAGGAAATAGGTTCCGACTTAATTCATATTTTACCTCACAGCCCAAATGGTGATTTATGTCCAGCCCAAAGTGGACCACGATTTATGCTCAACTTTATTGAGATATCAGGCTGAGCCTAGCCAAAAGCTATTTCCAAGTTTGCCTGTATTATCTAATAATATATTTGTGTTGCACTCTAGTCTCAATATGGCGCTCCCCCCCCCCCGTGTGTGTGTGTGTGTGTGTGTGTGTGTGTGTACATTCCCCCCTCCCTCCTTCTCCTCTTTCTCTTCTGAGACAAAGATATCCTGATATCCCCGCTTTAGGGAAGACAGGATACTATCCAATGGCAAGATTCTTAAAGGGGAGCAGAAAGCTGAAGATGCAGCTCAGCTGGCAGACGCTTGTACAGTGTTCAGGAAACCCTGGGTTCAATTCTCAGCACTGCACAAACTAGGTATGGTGATGCACACCTGGTGTGGTGGTTTGAAAGAAAACGGCCCCCAAAGGGAACGGCACTTTTAGGAGGTACAGTTTCATTGGAGTAGGTGTAGTCCTGTTCGAGGAAGTGTGCTACTGTGGAGGTCTCATATATGCTCAAGCCACACCCAGTGTCTCAGGCCACTTCCTGTTGCCTGTGAGCCTAGGTGTAAGACTCTCAGCTCCTTTTCTAGTACCATGTCTGCCTGCATGCTGCCTTGCTTCCCACCAGGATGATAATGGATTAAACCTCTGAACTGTAAGCCAGCCACCCCAATTAAATGTTTTCCTTTATAAGAGTTGCCATGGTCATGGTGTCTCTTCACAGCAGTAGAAACTCTAAGACACCTGGTATCCCAGAACTCAGGAATTAGAGGTAGGAGGATCAGAAGTTCAAGGGCATCCCTGGCTACATAGCAAGTTCAAAGCCAGCCTGGGCTACATGAGACCTTGTCTCAAAAAAAAACAAAGCACAAAATGATTGCGTGTGTGGAGAGTGGCCAGACACTAGAGTAAGAACTTGCCTGCCTGTCTCCTTTACGGCTCTGTCCTATAAAAAAGGGCTTCTTGGCTGCAGGAGTCCCACGAGGGCCACTATCCCTAACGGGGGACCTGTATGCAGGAGAGATGATGGAAGGGGACATAACAGGTCTGGAAAGCCAGAGAAGAGCCTTGAGCCAGTGTTTCTGACCAGATGGATTGCCAAAAGCAAGAGCAAGAGATGGGTGGGCATGCAGGGCACAGCCTGGGAAGCCAGGAAGCTGAGACCCAAGCATGGAGGAGCCCCATTATACTCGAGGAGCAGCAGACAGGCACCGGCAGGACCCCTACAGCCACCTTCTGAGGAGAAGGAGCACCCCTCCATCAAGAGCCCCCAAAGTTGCTGGGGCCCTGGTGTCTGACCCTTCCCGAGAGCTTCCAGAATACGTGGAAGCCCTCCAACAGCAGTGCCCACCTCTCCAGCCTCCCACTGCCAGACGCATCTATGGTCTATGGCTTTTCTGCTTTTAGAAAAATTAAGTTTACCAGAGGAGTGGCTTCTGTGAAGTCCATCAGCAGGTCGCCTGGCCCCAAGGTGAAGCTGCCTCCATGGTCAGAGGGGCTCTGCAAAGGCAGGCAGAAATGTCCCTGGTTAGTGATACCCAGAGCAGATGACAGGGCTCAAAAAGGGGAGGGGGAAGAGGCTGCACTTCCCTAACAATGAGCTGCTCAGAGTGCAACTTCTCCCCGCAACATGCCCCTCCCTCAGCAGTGTGCAAAATAGCCAGGCCGAACCCCATCTTTCCCCTGAAATCTGGATGGATAGAAATAGGGTAAGGTGTGGGATCTGGCCTTTTTAAAGCTACAAGCCAGTTTCCTTCGGTGCTTTGAGTCTGTTTTATTTCACTGGTTTTTGGGGAACCGCTTCAAAGAGTCTGCAGAACACATAAATAGAACAAGAAGCCATCCCTCACGGAGAGTCGGGGAATAAGAGAGAGGACCATGAGGAGGGTCGCTGGAACCTCTGAAGAGTGTTCAAGAAAATGCTCTGTCGTGCTATGGGGTCCTAGCTGCACAGGCAGGTCCCAGGCCCTTTGAGGAAGCACAAAACACAACTCACAGGCCCATCAATTTGACATAAGGGGCCTAAAAAAGAGAGATGGCCAGCAGAGGGAGCCCTGGAGCTTTTGGGAGGATGTGGTTGCTCTCCATTCCACACACTGGAACGCTGCAGCCTGTTTTTTAACCAGCTGTGGTATACATGAAAGGAACCTGTCGCCCACTTGACAAACTGTAAGAAGAATCCCTGTTACAGGCAGTGAAGCCAGTATGGTGGCACACATCTATAACCCTGGCACTTGGGAGGCTAGGACAGACAACTTCCCATGGGTTCAAGGCCATCCTGGGCCACAGAGTAAGTACCAGACCAGGCAGCTATGTGGCAAAACGCTACCTCAAGCAACACGAAATTCAAAAAAGATGCCAGGATTCACCCTCTAGATCGCCAGAGAGCCCCAGTCTGCACCAGTCAACACAGTCACACTCTTGTGTCTATTTTAGACACATGAAGAAAGGGCCTTGGGAAAGGTGGACCTCGCCATACAGTCTACGGGCCTGGAACACCGCTGTTTAGATCTTGCCAAGAATAGTGACCCTGGAAGCTGCACAAGCCTCAGGGATCCAGTGGCTCTCACGAGGCCCAGCAAGGTTTCCATGCCAATGTGAGCTTTGGTGCTGAGCTTCTCATTTTTAAGAGTCGGGGGAGCTAAGGCTGAAGGAATATGGGCTTTGAAAAAGATTGCCCTTTGGGGAGCTATTACTGGCGTGTGAATGGGGGAGCTGGAGCCCACTGGAGCTTCCACCTTGCGGTCAGGGCATCTGCTCCCTGTATATATCTCCCCTCAGGAGTTGCATGGACCACAGCCATCTTTGGCTCAGCAGGGACAGTAACGCGGTCAATTGTATTTGAACCCAACCGCCGAAGAGTGGCCGGTGACAGAGCCAGCCAGAGAAAAGCAAGAGAGTATTTCACGGAAAGTCTCTGTCACCAGCATTCACACTTGCAACTTCCTGAAATTTCAAACTGAGTGGTATTTCTCATTTTCAAACAATCAACACGCCTTATCTAATATAAGGCATGGGATGGGAACACATCTATGTTTTTTTTTTTTTTTTTTTTTT